CTCTTTCGGCGTGCATCCCTTACAGCTGACGAGCGGGTAGGCATCGATCAGTCGCCGCCACACGTTTGCGGCAAGGGCTACCTTCGGGAAGCCTGGGGATTATCGATTTTTTGGTGCCGAAGTTGTATTACTAGCGGAAAAAAAGGACAAAGGCTTAGGAGTATGGAGTACGTGCCTGGGCTTATGGATTGTGGGAATCACTTGAGGCGATGCGAGTGGTAGTGGGGGTGGTGGGCGTCTTGTTGCACTAGGATAAGCTGCATCACAGCCACTCACAGCTCCCCCTCCCACTGAAGCTAAGTGCCCGCTGCCGATGCGCAAAGTGCGTATCCGTTTTGCCGTCAGAGATAAAAACATTTTCTGGTCGATATCCTGCGTTTGGAGGATTTTAAACCATTATTTTAGGAAATTTTTCGTAAGATATTAAATAAATGTCAAACAATACCAGTTTGCTTATCTTGCTAGGTAGATGCTCAAAAGCTTAATTTTTAGTAGTTTACAATTATACCAACTATAGCTGATACAGTATCTTTATGTAATTGATGTTGTTTCTACCGGTGGCCACTGGCCTCTGTAGGTTGCGATGTGGTTAGTAGGTATTTTGGAAAGATGTCCGTTTTGCGGCTTTGAAGGACGTTTGGTTGACAGCAGTGGCCGAAGAAATTGAGTGCTAGCTAACACAACTAGAACAGTGCTAGCGTACGAATCCTTCACAGTTGGGTAATGTTCCGTTAACAGACTGGCTGAGCTCGCCTTCCCGGTTGAGTTATTGATTCGTTCCGAGACCTGCGTGACCAAAGCGTTTTCCCTCGACATGCGTGCTATCCTCTAGAGAGGAAAATTTTATCAGTTACTGATGCCGCAAAGTCGTCAGTTGTCTTTCCATCCGAATATCATTCGGATTATCATACACTCCGTCTTTTGTAGTCGTTTTTCTAGGCAAATTTCTATGACATTCTTGCTCATGGGAAATCCAAAACACTTAATCTTAGTTATTTTTAAGTCTGAAGTAGAGCACCGTATGAGCTGCTTTGTCACTTAAAGCGTACGACTGTTCAATATTTCTAAAAAAAAACGGTTGCTTTTGCACCTTGCTGTCATTTGTAATACCTCTTTTGAAAGGTTTTACTGGGTGAGTCTGAGAATATGACCGAGAATGTTGACAGTTGCAAGACTTCTAATTGTTAATGGACCTTCAGTGTGCGAGCCGAATTCACCGCAATCTGATATGTGCCATCTAAGTAATTGGGCAACTTAATGCCAGTCAGTATAGGTCGGCAGCACCTGATTGTGCTCAATTTTGCTTTGAAATTCATTTTTATTTGAGTGTATATACGGGGGCCGTAATTAGTAGTTCAGAAACAGTTCAGTTTTTACGCTCTACTTTTACAGACACCATCTCTGTTTCTGTTTAGGGTTCTGCCTATTCTTTTCGAGAACGCCAAGTTTTGGGATTGCATGGTCTTCTGCCCCCAGCGATTTTAACTCAAAATGAGCAAGTTCAAAGCGTGCTCACTAATTTATACCAACTGGATGACGATCTGGGACGTTATAACACGATGATGTCCCTCCAAGACCGGAACGAAAAACTTTTTTACAAGGTACGCAGCTTCCTCGCTCATTTCTGTGGCAGACAGTTACATCCCACTTGGAGTATACACTGCCTTTGATATACACTCCAACGGTTGGCAAGGCCTGTCTGAATTATGGAATGATTCTGCGACGACCCCGGTACGTCTTCTTTGTTTGTTTTATTAGTTCTAGGGGCGTTTACATCACCCACCACGACAAGGGACATGTGCGCAGTATTCTGCGTAACTGGCCTGAGAAATACGTCAAGGTGAGTTATTTGTTGTCTCTAAATAGGATCTTTTAAGGCTGTTGTCTTGACTGATGGAGAGCGGATTCTGGGGCTTGGAGACTTGGGTGCACATGGAATGGGCATCCCTATTGGCAAATTGGTTCTTTATACTGCCCTTGGAGGAGTTCATCCTCGCTTCTGTCTTCCCATGACAATCGACGTTGGGACAAACAATGCTGAACTTCTTGAGGTAAATTCGCCTCGCTTGTTATGGTGCAGTATCTCTCACTAATGAAATCGGAACGTTTGGGCGTAGTTTCCGTCTTTCATTTTCTAAGTTGGCACTGTATATTCGCTTTCAATGATCCCTGGGGCCAGCGGATTAGAGAACTAACTTATTTCAGCTTCTTCATTTTCTTAGAAATCAATTTTTGTACTTGGTACAGATCAGTATATTCAATGTCTGTAGAGTTAAATTAGTATGGTAAGTAATTCCATAAGGACTAGCTGATCTTCAAAGTTTGATATATCTGCTATTATCGTTAACTGGCATACACATATAAGCCTCTCCCTCCTGCAATTTTACGCTGTAAGTGCTTGTGGTAGTGCCGTGAAAAGCGTTTGATCTCATGAGGTGGATAACTCAAATTCCAGATTGGACTACAAATTGCCTTGGCATTGGAGTTGCCAGAGTTCCAGTAATTACTTGTTGTGGATTACCCCCTTCCGTAAGATATTCTTAAGTCGTTTAACTTTCAGCCTATTTTGATTAAAAATGCCTCTAGATGACCTATTGTTCGTGTCAGTTTGCCTAATCTGTTGGCGGCCGACAGGCAAAAGTT